AGCCACCCAGGCACCCCTCAAATCAGTTTTTATAAAATCTTCTAAAAAGCCTGGGAATAAAAGATGAGTTCCTCTGATATCAAGGTAATCCAAAGAAATACCCGTAAGGAAACAAATTAAGAATGTGAAATCACAGCTTTCAAAAAAGGAAAAAAAAAGAAGAAGAAGTAAACTGAAGAATGAGAGTTACTGCATTTCATTTGCTTATTCCTTTTTACCCAGAGAGCTGTTGTAAGAATTAAATGAAATAATGAACATAAAGTGAATAGCATGGTGCTGGGCACATGGTAAATGTGTAATAAATGTTGTTATTAATCTGGTTCAAACTTAAGGTGAAATCGATAAAGTCCAAGTTAACCAACTTAAAACTTTTCAAGTATTAAAGGATATCTAATTTTAAAGATAAAATCATGACTGGGGAACCTGGGTGGCATAGTCCTTAAGTGTCTGCCTTAGGCTCAGGTCATGATCCCAGGGTCCTAAGATCCAGCCCCACACCCGGCTCCCTGCTTGGTGGGAAGCCTGCTTCTCCCTCTCCCAACTCCTCCTGCTTGTGTTCCCTCTCTCGCTGTCTTTCTCTCTATATAAATAAATAAATAAAATCTTTTTTTTTTTTAAAGATAAAATCATGACTTTCATGCAAATATAAGATGAATGCACATCAAAGAATTAAACTACCTAATTTTTTAAAAAAAGATTTATTGATTTATTTGAGAGAGAGCACAAGCAGGGGGAGGAGTCGAGGGAGAGGAGGAGAGAGAGGGAGAGAAGCAGATTCCCTGCTGTTCGAGGAACCTCACCTGGGCTTGATGCCAGAACCACAAGGTCACAACCTGATCTGAAATCAAGAGTCCGACCCTCGACTGACTGAGCCACTCAAGGAAAATTCAAACAGCAGATCTAGATCTAGATCTACAACACCTATATCTATCCATTTAGGCCATGGAATGGTTTTACAAGAAAATGCAAAATTGGTTTTTACCCACGTAAACCAAGTTCATTTGCATTATCTATAGACAAAATCATTTACATGGATATCAGTTACCTGCAACATCTAGAGTTTTAAAATAGCTATAACACAATGAAAGGTATAAATCCTACAGAATTTGATATCCCCAGAAGGATGTGATCTAGACATGGTTTACTAGGGAGGAGGTCTATAATCTTTTTCATCTGTATCAAAGTCTTTTGTAATTCTTTCTTTATACATGGATCTTAAACAGAAGAGTTTTGCTGAATTAAACTCATTCTCCTCTATTTAACATATCCTGATTACAACATAATACATTTCAACTATTAAGTGCTTAAATAATAAAGTATAAAGAGGGAAATGAAAATCCCCATGCTCTTATCACTAGGAGATAACAACTATTAATACTTGAAGCGTACTCATCCAGTCGGTTCCGTGTCTGTGTGTGAGCATGTATGTATAGATATTAACTGTTTTCTTCTTCTTCTTTTTTTTCGAGATTTTATTTATTTACTTATTTGACAGAGAACACAAGTAGGCAGAGCAGCAGGCAGAGGGAGAGGGAGAAGCAGGCTCTCCGCTGAGCAGGGAGCCAGACTCGGGACTTGATCCCAGGATGCTGGGATCATGATCTGAGCAGAAGGCAGATGCTTAACTGACTGAGCCACCCAGGCATCCCTATATTAACTGTTTATAAATCAGTTTTAATAAACTTTGTTCCGGGAAGTTATATATACATGTATATATGTATACACATATATTCAATCATATACACCAATTTATAATCCCCTCTCCCCTTTATATAATGAACAATTTTTAATCATCATTTTTATAGTTATAAATATTCCATTACATGGAAAAACCATAATTCATTTAATTAATCCAACACTATTAGGAATTTAGCTTGTAACAAAGATTAGTTATTGTAAATAAAATAAGGTGCTTCTCTTCTGATAACCTCTTTCTCTTGCACTGGTACCAGCTTTCTTGAAAAAGCCAAACATGTCACATGGTATCAGTTCCCAGAGGACGTTGGGATCCCTAGAATACCTGATCTTTCTCTGCTTTAGTTCACTGACCTACCTATTGCATCAGTGGCAGGCTGGGAATTAGAATTCGAATTGCTAGCCACCTGAAATTGCCCTTTGTTCTTGTCATTATCCTGACACACAGATTTCAGCATAAAGTTTAAAACAAAAACTAAGATCATCATGAGCTTTGACACGTAAGACCATTTAATTGAAAATGATATTGTCAATCCAGATACTTTTTTATCCTATTATTTTTTAAAGATTTTACTTCTTTATTTGAGAGAGAGAGAGCAAGCAAGCACGAGAGAGAGAACACAAGCAGGGAGGAGCAGAGGGAGAGGGAGAAGCAGACTCCCCGCTGAGCAGGGAGGCTGACATGCATGGGGCTCCTTCCCAGGACTCCGGGATCACGACAGGAGCCGAAGGCAGACGCTTAACCAACTGAGCTAACTGGGCGCCCCAATCCAGATACTTAAAAAAAATTTTTTTTTTTTCTAAAGTAACCTCTATGCTCAAACTCACGACCCCAAAATCAAGAGTAGCATGCTCTACCAACTGAGCCAGCCAGGCACCCCAATCCAACACGTTCATGAGGAAAATGCATTTAAGGCTTAGTTTCTTAGACTGAAGGATCGGAGAAAACAGAAAAATAGCTTTCAGCTAGGTAACAAATTGCCACAACTTTTCTTGATTTTTCAGACTTTGTTTTTCTTTTGTTTTTGTTTTTTTAAATACAAGATCACATTTAATTAAAACTGACAGGGGCACCCAGCTGGCTCAGTCAGTTAAATAGCCAACTCCTGATTTCAGCTCAGCTCATGATCTCAGGGGTGTGAGATGGAGCCCTGTGTCAGGCTCCATGCTCAGCAGGGAGCTGAAGGGAAGATCCCTTCCCCTCAGCCCCCTTCCTCCCTCTCCCTCTCAAGAAAAAATTAAAAAAAGAACTGATACATCAACAGGAGCATGAGCAACTGGCTCTCCTCATGAGAATACCATATCTAGTTTCGCTGTCCTCATTCTAAGGAATATTTCAGAAAGGAATCACTAAGATCTAAGGGAAAGACTACAAAGCCCTACAAACTACCATTGAAAAGAGGCGGTCATTGGACTAGGCACAAGGTGGGTGCTCGGTATTTGCTCAAGAGTGGAGGTAATAAGAAATTGACAACTAGCTGTATGGTTTTCAGGCAGAAGGGAATCACTTAAGCGAGTGCCTCTATTTTTTTATTTCTAAAAATGAGGAGAAATGACTACTCCCTCATGAAAAGAAAGGCTTCAAATGGAGCAACAGAGTTTGGTTTAAGCTAAGAAAAATACTATTAAAATAATAATTGGATATTTTAGCAAGCTACAGAGAAGACTCTTGAAACTATCCTTAGAGACATCTGAAAATAAGACAAAGACAGTCTAAGAATCCTATTGGTGTAACAGAAACCAGAAGGTAGACCAGATTAACTTTCTAGGTCTAGAAGGAATCAAGTAGACTTCATGATTTTATAAAATGAACTGGTGGTTTCCCTAAAATAAAGCATTAGTAGCTAGAGCTTAGAGATTGCTACACACTGCTAGAATGAAAGTTGCATAGAATATAAAATCATGGAATATAAAATAGAGCTATGTTAGTGTGCCTACTGTGTGCAAAGCCTGGCCCACAGGGACACACTGATCTGGCCACTGTCAGAGACCAAGTATTCCATGGGATGTGTCCCAACTGAGATAATGTGATAATTCTCTTGGTCTTACATTTCTTCTTGTTACTTCTGGCAAAATCCAAGCCACAGAAACCACCATATTGTATTGATTCCTTCTGATGGTGACCTAGAATCTCACCACTTCTTTGGTATGATCACTCTGTATTTGGTACTTTTTGGTGTTGGGTCAATTCCATTCAACCTTTTAATATCTAGAATTTGTCAGGCACTCTACAAATCATAAGAAAGGCCAAAAGCACTTCTCAATGTGCTGCAAACTGCCCTCCAGATTCTGTGAGTAAATAGGGCTGCCCTCAATTCTCCTATTTCCTCCTGGGAAATACCTTTCAAATATATAAAAGGTATGGTCACAGTTCCCTTCACATGGAAGTCTGAGCATGGCTGATGAAACACCAAAGCCGCACTGAAGTCTCCAATGGCAATGACATTTTCAACAGACCCTCCATGAGAACATCAACCCCGCTAAATATGAGAAACTTTACCGCCAGTTCAGATTTTTAGAAGGAAGAAAATCTGTGTAACCATGTCCTATAGTATGCCTCTCTCAGAGAAAAAGTACTCATTCCTATTGTATGCCTGTCCCGTCAAAAACATTATTCAGTTGCACATTATTAAAATGTTGTGAGGGGCGCCTGGGTGGCTCAGTCAGTTAAGCCATTGCCTTGGGTTCAGGTCCTGATCCCAGGATTGGGATCCCAGGATTGAGCCCTGAATCAGGCTCTCTGCTCAGCAGGGAGTCTGCTTCTCCCTCTGCCTCCCCCTACTTGTGCTCAAGCTCTCCCTTTTTCTTTCTCAAATAAATAAGCGAAATCTTAAGAAAAAAAAAATAGTGTTGTGAAAAACAAAAATGGGAAGGAGGAGGAGGTGTTCCTTTGTTGTTTTATATACTCAGAGAAAAACTGTCTTAATAAAATCTTACATCTTTCTTGTGCTACATTCAGTAATTTCAGAGACAAGACAAACCTGCAATTTTTGAAACGTAGGGGATTAGAAGAAATACAATCTAGCACAGGACAGAGGCAAACACTAACAACACAGATATCCTGACCCCGTGATTCTTTTAACAGCCAAGCTAGAAGATGGAAATTCTGTGTTCTTTTAAATCACTACCATTGATTTTTGCTAGAAACACAGCAAATAAACCTCCACTTCCAATTTTAGGCCAGTTAGTATGACAGCATTTCTTCCCAGGCCAAGTTTAAGTGAATTCCAAAAAGGTGAAACAGTGATCGCGAGCAGAGCCATTTCTCAGAAGCAGGAAGTGCATGTTGGAAACTGGCCTCTTACCTTCGAAGAACTGCTGCAGGGCCTCCTTTTCCCCCAACACATCCATGGTGCTGGAGTCCTACTGATATTTCCTCCCAGAACAAGGGTTCTCGGAGCTCAGGAAGTAAGGGCTGTCCTCTCAACTTGAAGCCTACGAATGCTCTTGAAAAATCTTCATTTTCTTTTTACTGGAGCGAAGCCTATCTTCTGCCAACAAATGTGTCCGGAAAGATGGTTAGGTTCTCAAAATGATTATAAAACCAGGATATGTGACCATACAGAAAAAAAAAAAATTCATGGTGAGGGAAGTGGTAACAAATCCATCTATCTTACTGTAGGGAACTGTTTCTACTCTGCCTTTTGTCTTTGTTTTAAGGACCTTTGTCCTTAGTGATACATGTAATTACATAAATGGGCAATAAATACATAGGCTTATCTCTTATTTGTCCTTTTACACCAATATATTTATCTCTCCCTCTATATCAACCAATTTAGCCATAACCAGGCAAATATACAGAGTTTGTGTGTCTTTTTTACCTAGAGAGAGGGGGCACATCAATGTAATCGCTTTTTTAGATACGTTGAATAGCAGATAAACAGGCTTGTGCTAATGAAAAGTTAGGATTTGTGAAGTATTTCCAAATTTAGCCACAGTGGAAACTTACATTCCTTTGATACACACCTAGTCTATCTCCTCCAGATTTTATTTTCTTTGAAAGTATAACGTATGAGAAGCTCCTCTAATGGGCAACAAAACGGCATTTGATTCAGTAACTCTCGCAGTGGAGTACATATGGTTCACTATTAGTAGCTGGTTTCACTCCTAAATATAAAAGTTCTGCTTTCCCGCTCAGCTATTCATTTACTTAACAGTAGCCTAAGAATACAATTAGGAAATTAAATTGTCTCTTAGTCCCTTCCTTTTCTCTTTTTCCCCAACTTGTTATCTTGAAAACAGTTTTAATCTTTAGAAAAGCTGCAAGGATAGTACCATGAAATAAATACCCACTCATTCTTCATCCAGATTTACTAATTACTAATATTTTACCACTTTTGCTTTTTCCCTCTTGCTATATACATTTTTGGCTAGGCCATCTGAAAATGACATCTTGACATTTCACCAGAAATAATTCTGTATATTAACAAATAAGGACATTTCCTCACATAATCACAGTATCATTATACCCAAGAAATGTAATAAATTTAATACTAATATCTCATAAGTATTAATCCCACTGTCCCCAAAATATCTTTCATGACTTTTTGTTTTCTGATCAAGGACCTAATAAATGTTCATGCATTGCCTTTGGTTATGTCTTTTAGAGACAGAGATATAGAGATATTGTCATTTTTAGTTGTTTGGCTTTTTATGACATTGACACTTTTTTAACAATCCAGGTCCTATTGTCTTATGGAATGTCCCACATTCTGGGTTTGTCTGATTGCTTCATTATTGCTAGAATTAGTATAGATTATGTGGTATGCTTCCTTATAAGTATTTTAAAACTTCACACATATAAACTGTTCCTCAAAAACAAGCAAGGTAATTCTATATTGGAGGGGGAAAAAGTGAGAGAGAGAGGCTTAAAATCTTATGTTGAAGGTTATATTGGGCCCCAGAGCTTCAAGGACAAGTCATCAAGTTGCTTGAAGAAATGAATTTTCTACGTTGTTGTTGTTGTTTTCTCTTAGTTCAACTTGTGTTGAAATCTCTGCTGGGTGCAGGAAGGAAAAAGATGAGTAAATAATAGTCCCAGCCCTCCCCAGGTTTAAATGTGGAGCATGCAAGAAACACAAGTCACTCTAACTCAAGGAGACGCTGATAAAGGCTGGGGAAAACATCTCATGAGAACAGAGGAAGCAGAGATTATTTAATCTAGGGGGTGTCACCAAGAGCTGAAACTGGAGGGGACTCAAACAATGGCACATGGATACAGAAGAGCTGGGGCAGCATGTGCTTCACGAAGAGAAAAGATGGCAAATAAGTTGAAGAAGGATTTGGGTAGATTTTGAATGCTGGGCGACATCGGATTCCTTACAAATATTTACTCTCTGTCCAGGATTTCTATTTAGGCAGTGGTCATGCATGATGTAATTGAAAGATAGCTGTGTTGGAAAGTGTTGGTTAGAGCAGTAACAAAGTTGGACCCGTATTAAAGCCCGAAGATGGTATTGAATCCAAAATTGGCTTCAGATGGGATGTGCAGAGCAAGGAAGAGGCCAAATGATACTTTTAAGTAGATGCCCTTAGGTGCAATACGAATTAGGATGCCGAAGACGTGTGGCCAGGGCTAAATCTAGACTCCCAAGAGAAGTTCCCAGCCACGTTTTCTGGAGGCCGTTGGAAGTAAGTCGTCACGCTGTATTCACTGCCAAATGACAGAGGATCCAGCCAATGATTCACCCAGACACCTCAGTCTCAGCAGCAGACTAGTGAGTGAGCAGAAACAAAAAAGGGAAAGAAATAAGATTCCAAGTGATGGGCTGAGAAGCAAAGTTAGAATAAGTTCCCAAGCTCAAATACTTAACCGGGCCAGGCAGGTAAGTTAGTACAATGGGCCCACATAAGCAAAAACCAACCACGTAAGCATACTGATAACTGACAAGTGACCCTTTAGTCTTGGGGTCAGGAAGACAGGGGTGGTGGGGCATAGAGCAAACAGAGGCTACAAGCCCTGCTAAAGGGTGGATCCCCCCAACAGGTAGAACCCCTCAGCTTCTTCCAAGAATGTGGATTCAGTGTTGTCAAAGTGGCCAATTTTAAAAGCGAAGCTAGAAATGCAGATTTTAATTTTAAATCTCATTTTTAAACGTTGCAACTAATTTTTTTTATTTCTTTTCAGCGTAACAGTTTTCATTGTTTTTGCACCACACCCAGTGCTCCATGCAATCTGTGTCCTCTCTAATACCCACCACCTGGTTCCCCCAACCTCCCACCCCCCGCCCCTTCAAAACCCTCAGATTGTTTTTCAGAGTCCATAGTCTAAAAAAAGAGAGAAAAAAAAAAAAAGAGTCCATAGTCTCTCATGGTTCACCTCCCCTTCCAATTTCCCTCAACTCCCTTCTCCGTTGCAACTAATTTTAAATCTCATTTTTTTTTAAAGATTTTATTTATTTGACAGACAGAGATCACAAGTAGGCAGAGAGGCAGGCAGAGAGAGAGGAGGAAGCAGGCTCCCTGCTGAGCAGAGAGCCCGATGTGGGGCTCGATCCCAGGACACTGGGATCATGACCTGAGCTGAAGGCAGAGGCTTTAACCCACTGAGCCACCCAGGTGCCCCTTAAATCTCATTTTTAAATGATACAACTAATTTGTTCAGAAACAAATCGAATGTAAAAATAAACCAAAACATCGTCAAGGACAAACAGCACATAGGTGGAAACATGACTCTGCCTGCGCTATGGCGGTGTGCAACCTCCAGGTGAGAGGCTAACCGATAACAACCAACATGGTTTGAGGAAGGTAAAGAGAATGTAGAAGAAAGTTGTTGGGAAGGAAGGGCTGGAAAATATATCTGTATTAATTGATGAGTCCAGAACACACATCTGAAGGCACAATCCAGCTGGTGGCAATGGGGGTTTAAGGTTTCTCCCTCTCAGAGAATAACAAATACCACCCATATGTCCTTGACTATGGTCTTTACATCTCTAAGATCTCCTAATTCTATTGGGCATCCCCATTTTGCACAGATTTGGTAAAGATTCATCTCTTGAGCCATAATCTAATGTAGCTGTGGTTTAGATGTTTGGGTAATGACGTTTCCCAGATAACTCCAAAAATAAATAGGTAAAAGCTGAGCTGCTGTTAGGGTTATATTCTGCTCTGTATTTTAGCAGCTTTGGTCATTTGTGGTATTGTAACTTTTTAAATGCTAGTTTTTAAAAGATGCTGGCTTGGATGAGTGGTAGTAGTGGACATGGAGGGAAGTAGACAGATTCAAGGTATGTTTTGCAGAGTTGGTGTGACTTGCTGATGGACTGGATTGGAGGTGGATTGGTGACAGAACCAAGAATAAGCCCTAGACTGTTGTGTAAACAACTGGGCTGTGTCAATGTTGGGTATGAGATGCCCGTTAGAAGTCTAAGTGGAGGGGCCAATGGGCAAATGGATACAAGAGCCCGAAGCTAGGGAAGGGGTGTCAGGGTTGGAGATGGGAGAGTTAGATGCAAATGGTACTTGATTTTCAAAGCTAGGGCCCCGATGAGATGATCTGAAGAATATTTAGATAACAAGAAGGGGGGCCAGGGCAAAACTCTAGGAATTCCAGTATTTAAAAGCTGAGTTAAGAAAGAGCCAGCTAGAGTTGTGACCAAAGCTGTCACAGAAAACCTCAAATTCCCCACTGCAGCTTACTAAGACCTACGTTGTCTGACCCTATGCCTCCCTCTCCAGTTTTCTCTTATCTACCTCCCTGACACCAACCATACACTCAGGCTTTTTGCTGTTTTTCAAATATGTCAAGTTCGTTTCTCCCTTAGGGGCTGTACGCCAGCGTTGGGTTCTCTCGCTGCTTGCCTCCCTTCATAAGCCTGGGTCTGGTCAGAAGAGCCCAGCTGGAAAATGTGACCTCCTGAGGTGGCCTTCCCCGACCCCCTGATCTGGAGTACTCCTCCATTCCCCTTCTAGCCCATTACCCCATTTTGAGTATCTCTAGAGCACTTACCTTTTAATATTAGTCTTCTTGCCCATTACTCACAGAACGGAGAGCTCTGCGAGAACGGACCTCACCTGTCTTGCTCACTGCTCTATCTCCTGCACCTACAGCAGCACCTGGCACACCCAAGACCCAGATACATGTGAACGATGAGGAGGAATTCTGTCAAGAAGTTCAGCACAAAAATTAACAGACACCACTGGGCCCTTGTTTGTCTATATCAAAGATAAGAAACTTAGTTGTCTGATGAATGGTAATTGTACTACGTTCCATGGGGGGGGGAATGAACTATTTTTCTAGCACAAAAGTTAGACACAAATATACATTCATACTGCTTTGACCTCTCTGTCTTAAACATTGAGTCAAAATTACTTAGGGAAAAACACAACAAAGAAAACTTTTAAAAACAAAG